GGCCAGGTTCTGAGCCATTGGTACAAATTGTGAAACTGTTAAGAAATGGAAAGTGGAATGAAACATAGTCGCAGTGATTATAAAATGGAGATGGGTTATGAAGTGATTTATAGAAATTGAACATTTATCAATTGCTAATGTCTTAGTTATTGCTCATACTGTGTTTAGCATATCTCTACTGGGCGTTGGTTCACCCTATATGGGACATTATTTTCAGGTACTGGTAGCATGCCACCTCCAAGGACATAGCTTGGATGATGATGAGAGTTGAAGACTCTTTTTGGTTGTTTTATTTGTATTACATGTATAGCAAGCCAAGGGCTTATTTTGTATAGAGTTAGTACTCTTCTTTTGTGTAACCAAGTGTTGACTTGGAAAGCTGTAAGCCTATAGGGCATTTGCTTTTGTTGTTAACATGTAACACTGTTGTAAGAACTACTCTGATGAATAGAAATGGTTAATTTCTTTTGTTTAATGCATGTCTAAAGTGATGGATTTATGTATTTATTTTGGGGCGTTACATCCACCGATAGCCCAAGCAATTATTTCTAAACAGATAATAAATGCCTCAACAAATAAATTACCAACAATTTTAAAGGTGAGTGATTAATAAATCCAACTCTACCTTTCTACCTCATATTGAACCAATTTCATTATTTCAAGCTCAATTTCATATTTCCATAACATTGGTCATTAATTACACTAATGACCCAAATATACCCAAACATGACATTTTCTCTATTTTTTCCCAATATTGACCCAAAGGCTTAAAAATTACCAACAACATCAATAATTTCTTTTTAAGACCCAAAATATACATATATGAGTCAAAGGACAAAACCCCTCTTTTCAAACCCTAACTTCCCAAATCAAACCATCTATACATATAGCTCAACATTTAGGTTAAAACACATAAGAATGAGTAGGAATCCCTACCTCAAATTCGGAGCTCAAAGGAAGAAGACGAAGAAACTCAAAGTGCACCAAATCCCAAGATTTTCGGATCAAAAGATAGCCCTCAACGATCCACACAATTTTTACAAAGGCCCAAGGTGAGGAAATTGCTCCAACTAGATCAATCCCTAGAGAGAAGGTAAGGTTTTAGAGTGAGGTGCTCTCCAATAGAGGTTTTGAAAAAGTAAAAGAGAGAAAGGAAATCAAAAAGCGATCCAAAAAGTGAAATCTCGGAGTGTTATAAAAATCGCCCCGCTCGAGCATGGAAACCCCTGCTCGAGCGTCAGACACAGACTCACGCTCGAGCGTGAAAAGCGCCGCTCGAGCGCCAGATGCACACTTCCAGAAGTTTTGCATGTAACGCCCTCAAAATAAATCCATAATTCATACATTCTTGACATGCTTAAACATAAGAGAATGAAGCATAGTTACATTTCATTAGAATATTCATTACAAAATGTATTACATGTTGACAACAAAAGTAAATGCCCTATAGGCTTACAACTTTCAAAGTCAACACTTGGTTACAAAAAGGGGAGTACTAACTCTACACAAAATAAGCCCTTGGCTTGATATACATGTAATACAACAAAAAGAACGACAAAATAAGGTCAAACAGTCTCAAGCCTCCCAAGCTACGTCCTTGGAGGTGGCATGCTACCTGTACCTGAAAATGATGTCCCATATAGGGTGAGCCAACGCCCAGTAGAGATATGCTACACATAATATGAGCAATAACTAAAACATTTGCATTTGATAAATGTTTAACTCACATAAATCAATTTACAACCCATTTCAATTACATGACAAAAGTGTCCATGTTTCTTTCCATTTTCTCAATTCATAACTATGGCTCAAAACCTGGCCAAACAATTTAAATGAGAATGTATCTCATATTAAAGCACTATCCTTATCCTTAATTCATTTTCAGATGAGATATCACTCATATCAAAACACTTCCACAATTCATAAGGGATACACATTTTTGCTGTATCAATATCATATTAACACTTCCATACTTCATAAATGATACACAGATTCGCTGTATCACTACATCAAAGGATACACATTTTTGCTGTATCCATGGAGTCCATCCCCTATCTCCTCCCAAACAATATCCGGTTTAGGAGTCCATCCCCTATTTTTTCCTAAACCGTGGAGTACATCCCCTATCTCCTCCCACACAATACAATGTATATAAACACGTATCATATACATAATCATTCAATACATAAATTTGATGTATTAATCCAACCGTTATATCCGATGACATATTTAATTGATTAGTTTTAGTTTGCCTAATCATCATGCATTGTCTACAACAATCAAGACTATCCTCCACTGATAGCCCAAAGCAATTATTTCTAAACAGATAATAATTACATCAACAGATAATTTATCAACAAGCTTCAAAGGTGAGTGATTAATAAATCCAACTCCACCATTCCATCTGATATTAAACCAATCCCCTTAATTCCAACTCAATTTCATGTTCCCATAATTCCCAAATTAATTACATGAATTAATTTGCCATAACAATTTAGGGCTTTTTCCCCCATCTCTCAATATTGACCCAAAGGCCCAAAATAGTTTCAATAACTTCAATACTACCATTTTAAGACCCAAACTACACATTTATGAGTCAAGACCACAAAATCCCTCTTTTGAAAATAACACATTTTTGAACCCTAACTTTCCAAATCAATCTATCTATACAAATAACTCAATGTCTGTGTTAAAGCACATAAGAATGAGTAGGAATCCCTACCTCAAATCCGGAGCTCAAGGGATAGGATGATGAAAAACTCAAAGTGCTCCAAACACCAAACTTTTCAGATCAAAAGATAGCCCTCAACGATCCACACAATTTTTACAAAGGCCCAAGGTGAGGAAATCACTCCTACTAGATCAATCCCAAGAGAGAAGGTAAGGTTTTAGAGTGAGGTGCCCTCCAATGGAGGTTTTGAAAAAGTAAGAGAGAGAAAGGAAATCAAAAAGTGATCCAAAAAGTGAAATCTCAGAGTGTTATAAAAATCGCCCCGCTCGAGCGTGGAAACCCCCGCTCGAGCGTCAGACACAAACTCACGCTCGAGCGTCAAAAGAGTCGCTCGAGCGTCGATTGCACACCTACAGAAGTTTTGCAGACATGGTCCCCGCTCGAGCGTCAAACTCCCCGCTCGAGCGGAGGAACAAAATCAAAGGGGTCACGCTCGAGCGTCAAAACTCTCGCTCTAGCGTCCAAAGACCTGCATAGAATACTGGGAGATGGAAATTCACGCTCGAGCGTGAAAACGTCCGCTCGAGCGGAGAAGCAAAATCGAAGGGCCCGCTCGAGCGTGAATGCCAAATTCTGGGCATCAACTTTTGGTTCAAATCACAACCAACCTATTTCAAACCTGCCCAACATAACCCAAGACTCAAATACAAAGAGTAATGGAAAGAAATGAGAATGAGACAACAACTCAACCACGGAACCAAGTCCGGAATACAATATACAAAGGAAAGGGAAACCGGGATCGCTATATTGCAGGCGATGGTCCCCGCTCGAGCGTCAAACTCCCCGTTCGAGCGTCCGAAGACCTGCAGAGAAAAATACTGGGAGATGGAAAATCACGCTCGAGCGTCAAAAATCCCGCTCGAGCGGAGAAGCAAAATCAAAGGGCCCGCTCGAGCGTCAAAAGCGCCGCTCGAGTGTGAAGGCCAAATTCTAGGCATCAACTTTTGGTTTTCAAAGCACAACCAACCTGTTTCAAACCTGCCCAACACAACCCAAGACTCAAATACAAAGAATAAGGAACGGAAATGAGAATGAGACAACAACACATCCACGGAACCGAGTCCGAAATACGATAAATAAAAAGAGGAATACCAGGATCGCTATAACCACTTTCCCCTTCTTGATTCCAGGGAAGATTCAAGGCTATCAACTTGCAACTAAAGACAAGGAAATAGAACAAACAACAAAGTCAGGTCAATTCTATTGTGAAAAAGAATTTTTATTTTTTATGATTATCTAACAAATCTCCACAAAAATAATAGGAAATAAAAAATTTAGTCATCGATCTATATTGAAGAGTATTGTTCGAACTCATAGAGTTCGTTACGAGTTTCATTATAATAATCTAAAGGAGCACTTTTTCATAAATCCCTTTTTACCTACTTATATTCTATTTAGTCTGCATTATTTTCTTATATTCCAATAAGTCCTATGGGTGACATAGTCACCAAAATACCCTTAATAATATTCACATTTACATTTCACACCATCAATGTGAATGTTAACATATCAATGTGAATATTCACATTGACGTGTGAATCATATTGTCAATGTGAACATTTACACGTCAATGTGAATATTCACATTGTAAAATATGAATGTTCACATTATCAAATTGCTAACCGTTCAAAAAATATTTGTAAGGGTAGAAATGTTCATAAAATACCTTAACTATGAAAATTAAGATTTGGTAGATCAAATGTCCAGATAATAGGACTTATTAGAATATAAGAATATCTTATAGACTAATTGAGATACAAACACTTGAATATCTTAAGGCTTGGGGTTTAAGCCCCAAGGTCACAGGTTCAATTCCTCTCTCCCCTGGGCCAATCTCCTGGGCGAAGCACAGTTGGTTAGGAGGTTGGACCTCAAGTTGTCTAATCAGCACTTGGTGTGGGTTCAATGCTCCCCCGATGTGCGAGTCCTGACTTAAGCGGAGCTTGTCTTGAGAGGTCGGGGCAAGTTCCCAGGTTATAGTCTCCTCGCTCGGAACGGCTAACAAGACACCCTGGTGATCTCTGTAAGGGGCGCTGCCTTGGACCAGCGGGAGGGTAGGGAGGATTTTGTTGTAACAAAAAAAAATCTTATGAACTAAAAAAAAAAAAAACACTTGAAAAAGAATTTTCTAATAAATTTTCCTAATCTAAACCATTTGTTTTGTATTTTGAATTTTCCATTATTTAGTGTTTTTAGAGTTCTACTTGTAACATCCCAAATTTCTAGCCCAAATGATAATACAACAATCATGGCTCTTTCAAAGAAAATCAAATATAAATCTCCAAACTTACATTGCATGATATAACAGTTCTTCATACAACAATACATCAATCTAACAACAAGTAAATAAACAAATAAATACCCCTAAGGGTTTACAAATTTCCAAGACTTAAGCTTGGTTACACAAAACGGTTATTCAAACCCACACAAATACAACCCTTGGCTTACAAAATAATGTCACGCAAAATGAGAGCATTGTACTCCCAACACACATACTTTTACGCCCCTAGTTGGATGGAATCACCACATCTTTTCCTGTACAAAAATCCCGTAGGGTGAGTATAAAGCCCAGTAGAAAATTCTTAACAAATTATATACATTTTATACAAATCTCAAGAGATGAAATGCACATACCATGCTATGTCCTTTTTTCAGATAAATTATATTTTTTTTTCTTTTGAAAACCATCATGCTCAATGATGTCATGCAATTTCAATTGTTCAAAACTTAACAATTTATTTCAAGGGCGGTAAATACGTCTCTGGTAATCCCTAGGCTAGTGTCTGCAAGTAGACTATACAAGTACTACCAAATTGTCATTTTTACCGGTATTAATCGGAAGGCTCGACACCTATCCGTGCTGATTTTTCGGTCTTTCACCCCGGACCAGCAGGCCAACTTATTCAATATCATCTACACCACCCATCAAGACTTACCAACATATTTATCCCAAAACCATTTCATGAAAACTTATTTCTCAACATTCTTTTCTCAATGCACGTTTTCAAATCAACCTTCAAGGTCTAATGTAATGAAATGAAATGATATGCCAATTTCACAAGATGAACACAATTACTTTTATTCCAATTCATCATCCAAGGAATAAACACAATTTTCTCTTCTCAACTATTCTCAACAATTTCGTCATTTCAAGACTATATCAACATTCTGAATAATCATTTCTAAAATGGACAGAAATTCTCATAATCCACAAAATTAATCATTTATACAAATATAAATAATAAATTTTCTAAACATAATTTATTTTGGCACACAAAAATAAATATAACAATATTACCCATGGATTTTCAATCTATTTTAAAATTCCAAATTTCTAGGTTTTCTTACCAAAACCAACCATTTTCAAATATTCGAGAAGATCTCACCAAAAACATTTTTCTTTTACCAACATAGTCCGAAACCCTCAATTTCTATTTTAAAAGAAATAAGAAAGTAAACCCACTTTCAAAATCACTCCTCTTTTTGATTCAACAAAATTCATTTTCAAAAAAAAGAACAAATCAAAGGATGATTGCAAAAATATATATATAACTCAAAGAAAATCCCTACCTCAAGCCAAGAAGAGGAAACAAGCAAAAATCGAAATTTTTGATTTAGTCGAATTTCGATCTTCACTGGTCAAAATGTTGCTCTCTCCAACTCTTCATTTTGGTCTCAAGAACATGGGGCTGAAGTTCACTACAAGTGTCCCTTTCGCTTCTTAACACCCGTGCTTTCGTGACTCTTATTCCTAGAACCCCTGGTTGTGAATTAAGAACTCCACTGGACATGCTGACATCAATGTGCCACATGCTACAATTGTATGTACAATTGGCTCCTGTAGTTTGAGGAGTATGCCCCACCACATTGCTACTGAAGGTTTTCTTTCATGGATATAAATAACTCAGGACATGTGCTACAATCAACAAGCCCATCTGATTTATCAGGCTCATGACAGCCACTTCCATCAAATGAAGATTGGCATCTAATAATAAGATCCTCATTTGACAAAGAAACAATGGTTGATATTCTTTCTTTCGCCCACAAAGGATCTAAACGCATAAAAGCCTCCCCACACCTCAGAACAGAAAGAACAGCAATAATGTATTCCACAGAAGGTACCATATATTCCAATATTTTCGGAGTATACATATACTGATCCTCAGTAGACTGCTCTACACCTAGACTCGAAGAATTCGAACATTCAGATTGTACTGGTTTCACAGCACGCACCACGCGCTCAACATCCAGCGCTGATTCGAGAGAGATATGAGTGGTCCCGATCAACCAAATCTCCTCCGGCTCCACGAACTCGGCCCTCCACTCCGGCACGGGTCTGAATTCACTTTTTTTGACAAGAACCAAGCTTCCATATGTTTGGTGCCAAACACCTTATCTCCACCTGGTTTGATTCAACTCAAGCTCTAGCTGTTACACTATGTATTCTTTTGCTCAGCCCATTTCCTTCTTGAATAACTCATTGGCCCGATCCTTTATTGTTGCAACCATCAATAGCATAACAGAGTTAGGTTGATTTAAATGGTGCACTGGTAGCTCCAACAGGTGTTACTAAAGACAACATCCTGAAATGGACCAGCCATCTTGCCTCGCGGAAACCATCCCTAGTCTCCACTCTTCTTCCCTGATGGACACTCTGAATATTCTGCTGCTAGCTTTGCGAACTCAGCAGGTGGAACCTTATCTCCATTAATTTTCCAGCAATCTTGTAGCTTCTTGTATGCTTCATTAATCTTCCCTTGCTTCTCACATAAGATATGCCTTGCTTTGACATATGTGCAGGTGCCAAGCCCATCTGTCTTCGCACCTTTTCCTTTACCTTTTGAAGCACTATCATCACTTCCTCTTTATTTTATCACCTGTGTGTCTCCATAACACATCCACTCCCTCCTTTTTATATTCCTTTAAGAGAGAGAGAACCCGTGTGCCTTCTCCCCATGTGCTCCAAGCAATGTTGTCCCTGTCCCCATGTGCCTTCTGTGTGTGTAAAAGTGGCTTTCTTCATAAAAAATATATTTTTCTTCCCATGCTTGAACACCACTCAGCACTCACTTCTCTCTTTTGTAAAGAAATATCCTCCACCACAAAAACCATCATCAGAATATATTCCCTTTTGACTTCTTCTCGGCTCAGCACTCAATAATTTCTTCTTCTCATCACAAAAATATAGCCATTTTTGAGACTGCTAAAACTTTTTTCATTGAAAAAAAGTTAACAACCTCTTTGCTTTGCTTCTGATCTGTTGGTTTTTTGTTTTCCTTCTATAATAAAAAACAATGCCTATAGCAGAGATATTTCTCTCTGCCTTCGTCAAATTGCTGTTTGAGAAGATGACCTCTTTTGCCTCTTCCAAATTACCCACCTTTGAAGGTATTGGTGCCCAGCTCACCAATTGGACCAATATGCTGTCTCAAATTGAAGCTCTTTTGATTGACGCGGAGGAGAAGCAAATGACAGATCGAGCCGTGAACTTGTGGCTCGATGATCTCCAAGATCTGGCATATGATTTGGATGATGTCGTGGATGAGTTCGCCACCGAAGCTTTGCGACAGAGTCTCAAGGCAAAGCCACACCAAGCTAGTTCCAGCAAGGTATGGAATCCCATCCTTAATTTCAAGCCAGGAGATGTTTGGTTTAATTTCAAAATGAGGTCCAAGATTGAGGAGATCACTACCAGATTACGCACTAGTTTTGAACAATGTTCGAAACTTAATTTGGTTAAGATTGTTGGAACCACCACACCTACTAAGACTTGGCAAAGACCAGAGTCTACATCGTTATTAAAAGAACCTCGCGTTTATGGAAGAGAAAAGGATCAAAGAAAGATAATTGAGTTGCTTGTAGGTGGGGGTGAATCAAGTCGTAACAAAGTTGACGTAATTCCCGTTGTGGGTATGGGTGGGATTGGCAAGACCACCCTGGCTCAGATGGTATACAACGATGAAACCGTGAAGAAGCATTTCGATCTGAAAGCCTGGGTTTGTGTGTCAGATGAGTTTGACATTATGAAAATAACAAAAGCAATTTATGATTCAGTCACTTCCCAGACAAGTAGTTTTAATAACTTGGATCAAGCTCAAGTTCAACTAAAGCAGGCTTTGGTCGGAAAGAAGTTCTTAATTGTTTTAGATGATGTCTGGAACAAAAAATACAATGACTGGAATGATTTGAGCAGCCCTTTCAACGATGGAGCTCAAGGGAGTAAAGTCGTGGTGACTACACGTAGCAGAGACATTGCAAGAATGATGGCAACTGTCGAACTTCATGACGTTGAGATCCTATCAGATGAAGATTGTTGGTCATTGTTTGCACAACATGCCTTTGAGAATAGAAGTATTGATGCAAATCCAAATTTGGTATCAATAGGTAAGAAAATTGTGGAGAAATGCAAAGGTTTGCCTCTGGCTGCTAAGACACTCAGTGGCCTTTTACGTTGCAAAGAACGAGATGAGGAATGGGTAGATGTATTGTGTAGTAAAATATGGGATTTATCACACGAAGAAAGTGACATCCTTCCAGCTTTGAGGTTAAGTTACCATCATCTCCCTTCGCATTTGAAGCAGTGTTTTGCATACTGCTCAATAATACCCAACGACTATGAATTTGAGGAAGAGGAGATAGTCTTGTTGTGGATGGCAGAGGGTTTCATTCTGCATAAAAGAGAGAAACAAATGGAAGATGTAGGAGATGAGTACTTTCGGGAATTGTTGTCAAGGTCTTTTTTCCAACCATCAAGTACCGGTAAAACATCTAAATTTGTGATGCACGATCTCATCAATGATTTGGCTCAAGTAGTTGCAAGAGAAACTTGTTTTAGATTGGAGGATATATTGAAATATCCGAAGCAGTGCAAGAATATAAAGAAAGCTCGACATTCATCTTATATGCAGGAGGTACATGAGGGTATGAAAAAATTTGAGATCTTTGACAAAGCCATGCATTTACGGACCTTCTTACCATTTAACACACCATATGATTGCAAAAATTATTTGGCAAGCAATGTTCCCCTTAATCTATTGCTAAAGCTAAGACGCTTGAGGGTGCTCAATATGAGTAGATATCACATCACAGAAGTTCCAAATTCGGTTGGAGATTTGAAACATCTGCGGTATCTTAACCTATCCCACACCTCCATTGAAGAATTACCTGAATCACTAGGCTCTCTTTACAATCTACAAACATTGATATTAAGAGAATGTACAAAACTGAAAAAGTTGCCGATAGACTTGGGAAACCTAATTGACCTACGTCATCTCGATACTACAAATGCACATCACTTAGAAGAAATGCCGCTGGGAATAGGTAAGTTGGCTAGTCTTCAAACACTATCCAATTTTATTGTTACTAAAAACAGCGGGCATCGGTTAAAAGAGTTAGGGAATTTAATTTATCTTCGGGGGAAGCTTTGCCTATCTGGGTTACAGAACGTGGTGGTTCCATTAGATGCAAGGGAGGCGAATTTAAATGATAAGAAGGGGTTAGATGTGTTATCAATGGAATGGAGTGTTAACTCAGATGATTCACGAGATGGAAGAGTAGAAACAGAAGTGCTTGACATGCTACGACCTCACAAGAATTTAAAAAATCTCCATATCAAAGGCTACCTTGGTTCAAGATTTTCGACTTGGATAGGAGATCCTCTGTTCTCCAATATGGCTGGCCTACATTTAGATAATTGTGGAAATTGTGCATTCTTGCCACCACTTGGACAACTACCCTCCCTCAAAAAGCTTTACATTAAAGGAATGAGTGTACTAAAGCATGTCAGTTGTGAGTTCTACGGGCAGGGTGATGTTCAACCTTTTCCGTTACTGGAGACTCTAAGCTTTGAGAATATGCCAGAATGGGAGGATTGGTATACTTTTGGAGATCACAAGGAAGTTCAACCATTCACTCGTGTCAAGTATCTCTCCATAATAAAATGTCCCAAACTTCTTAAAATGTTGCCTACTGATCTACCTTGTTTGAATAATCTAGAGATTAGGGACTGCCCCAAACTTTGCGGGATGATGCCCAAGGATCTACATTGTTTGAATAATCTAGAGATTTCAGAGTGCCCACAATTCCTAGTTGAAGGTTCCAGCATTAGTCTCCCATCACTCACCTCGATAGCTATGAATGACGTTCCTCTAACAAGCCTTGAAGCGGTCCTTGAGATGAGGAGTATGGATGGTGAAGTGATATCGGCAAATGCAAAGTCTACGCATCCAAATTCAATGATTTCCTTGACCATTGGCATGATTAAGAAACTTGAGCTCTTGCCGAAATGGGTTACTCATGGGCTGATGGAACTCGAAGCATTGAAGATTACTAGCTGTGAAAAACTCAAGACACTGTGGAAGAATGAGGCGAGAGTGCAACACAGTCTCCCTGCATTCCGACGTTTGGAAATTGAAGGCTGCCCCCAGCTTGTTTCATTGTTTGAGGGAGATGAGGATGAAGAAAATGAAGGGCAACATCAGCAACAACAAGAAGAGGGACTGTCTTGCATGGTGAGGCTTGAGCATCTAAGAATAGATAATTGTGAAAAGCTGGAGAAACTGCCACGGCTGCTACATACTTTCACTTTTCTTCGAAAGTTTTCTGTCTGGAATTGTCCAAGTCTCGGCTCTTTTCCGGAGATAGGTTTTCCCCGCACGCTGAAAAAACTCACCATACGTAGTTGTGAGGCTCTGCAATCCTTATTCGGGTGGATAACGCAGATTAATGACAATAATCTTGAAGTGTTATGGGTTGAGAATTGTCCATCCCTCACATGCTTGATATCGTGCAGAGGTGGGGGGCTACCACCCACACTCAAAGAGCTTCGGATTTGGTGGTGTAAAAAGTTGGAGGCACTGCTAGAAGAGGACGGGATGGAAATTAACTGTCCATCTCTTGAGTCTGTTTGGATCAGTGGCTGTGATAGGCTGAAATACTTGCCAGATGCCCTTCCTAATAATAATAATCTCAGGAATCTCTGTGAATTGAACTTGTATGGGTGTGAGAATTTGGAGTACATTCCGGAAGGATGGTTCCACTCTGCAACAAATCTGAGACAATTGGAAATCAGTGGATGCAAAAAATTGAAGGCCCTACCACACGGATCGCAGAGCATCAACTACCTCACTTCTCTTCAAGAGCTGGATATGAATATTTCACAATGGAACAACAACTTCAAGAAGATTGGTTTGCACAGTTTATCCTCTCTTAAAACACTATGGATTGAAGGCAAAGAAGAAGAACATCCGATGGGTTCCAGCTTTCCGATAGATGGGATGTTGCTGCCCACCTCTCTGACAATTCTTTGCATCTGGGCATTCCGAAATCTGGAGAAGCTATCTTCTAAGTTGTTTCAAAACCTCGCCTCTCTTGAACAACTTGAAATCGTTGATTGCCCTAGGCTCAAATCTTTACCAGTGCAAAGGCTGCCTCCCTCACTTGGGATATTGTGGATCGAGAGATGTCCGAGACTAACAGGGAAGTGTGAAAAGGGGAAAGGCAAATATTGGCCCCACTTAGCTCACATTCCTGACGTCAACGTCCGTGAGTGATCAACTCTGTGGAGATTCCACCGCAATACAAGCAGTCAAATTGCCAGGTATCAAAACAGAAACTAATTTGATAAATATAAACATTTAAAAATTATTTTCAGATTTTAAAAACAAAATATTTTTTCAAAAAGTGGAAAATCATAATGAAAAAAATATGTTAAATTTAAATTTGGAGGACCATTATGGGATGAGTAAATAATTTTTTAAATTTTGGTTGGTTTTGGAGGTTTCAAAAATAGTTTTAAATTTTTAATTCGTATTTTTTTAATATATTGACTAATTTGTTTTATTTTTTAAATACATCTAATCTGCATATATTTTTAAAAAATTTAAAAATTTAAA